TTCCTTCCTTCCTTCCTTCCTTCCTTCCTTCCTTCCTTCCTTCCTTCCTTCCTTCTACTTTTGCCAGGCTCCTTGGAATTTTGGCAGCTGTGACTCAGTAGTGCAAGGACTCCATACCACATCCATGAAAATGTCACTGCCATCAGCTGCTGCTGCTTTGGGGAGGAGGAAGTCTCTGGAAGCCAATTTCTTTTCCAACCATTTGAGCAGAATGGTTAAAAGATGGATAAGAAATGCTCAGCACAAAACTAGCTTGGGAATGAGTAATGTTATATCAGTGTTTCTCAACCTTGGCAACTTGAAGATGGGTGGACTTCAACTCCCAGAATTCCCCAGCCATCAAGCTGCCAAGGTTGAGAAACACTGATATACCTTGCATAGACTTACTCTGAACATGGGGATCTCCTGAGCATGTCTTTCCCACTTCACCACTCAGCCTCCTATCCTACCTGGAAAATTCTCCTGCTGTCCAGACCAACAGAAGAGATGCTTGGATGCTAGACTGGTTCAAACACATGAAGTGCATATATATTTTCCCATAATATCTACAACCACCATGCATGTTCTTTGCATTCTCGCCTGCCCCCCCCCCCAAACACAGGAGGTTTCTAGCTGTTGGAATCGATTATATTTCGGTGACAACTGGAGGAGTAATTGCTGTGTTGTAATGACCGCTGATTCTGTATAACCTAATCTGGTAAACGTTGCTCAGAAGTGAAAAGCAAAAGCCCACTCTGATTTCAACGTTGTGATGAAATAATATAAATGCAAATCCCGCCGAATTAAATTAGCTGGGTGATAGTGTGACAAGGCAGAGACACCAGAGGAAGGGCGAAATGTTGAGTCCTGGAGAAGTTCATTTTTCATCTCTATTGTCTGAAGGAGGCAGACTTAACATTCCCATCGACAGCAAGCAGAGGAGTGTTTTAGACCTGATGGGTTGGGGAGAAAAAGGAGTCCGTGCTAGTCCAACGTTTATGCCCAATGCATTCATTTCTTTATTTTTTTTAATTGCAAAGAAAGGAAACTTACTGAGTGGTGAGTTTTTAAGGCGAATGATGAGGTCCGTGCTGCTGAGGCAACGAAGCCTGCAAGACCATCTCATTCCTGCGCCTTAAATTGGACTGCAAAGAAATTAAGAAATCAAATTATGCATTGATTTCCTTTTGTCTTTCAGGTGCACGCTTCAGGTATAACTAATCAATGTGACTTGCAATCGCTGTTCTTAATTGCTACGCAATCATTTCTTGAGTTGGGGGGAAGTTAATGAGATTCTCACTGCCACTCTCCTATTGCACATGGTGCAATAAGAAGGAAATCTTTCTTTGTTTTGGAATCGTTATTCCAAATTTTGTAGGATCAGGATGGCTTTGGATCTGTTTCTTCTGGCAATGTGATTCTATCTGCAGCATTGATCTGGAGAGGCTCTTTTGCCTATGGTCAACATAAGCCAAAAACATTTTGGTGCATTCACGCTGGCCAAAGCTATTGAGCTTGGTGTGCAAAATGGTGCTTCTCAGCTTGGAGGAGTTTGAGAAAATGCCTCACTTTTTCTTCCTGATTTATATCTGGTGCAATGTTTAGTTGTTTATTTATTCATTCAATTGGTATGGTTGCCTATCTCAAATGCGTGGCCCTGGGCTAACGATACTTAAAAGCAAGATAAAAACCACATAACCAAATTACAAATGATACTTAGAGCAGCTGAGAAAAACCAACCAACAGCCACAATTAGCCCAACCATGATGTGGGTTGAGCCATACATCCGGGGCCCAAGGCTCAATGACAAAACCAGGTTTTCAAGGCCTTCCTTACTGATACTGATGTGTGACTGTGGGTACATCGAGGCAAGCTTCAGTGGATGGTAGAGTGGGAGGAAGGTGTGGCAACCCTGGCTTTGCATAGAACGCTTGGAGAGATCTCCAAGTGCTTGAAGGGAAGATTATCAGAAAACCCCAGGGCTGTAGACCTGTAAACCTGGGAACTTGAGGAGACGTCTTGGAAGAAGGCAGGATGGCACTTCCATATTGTTGCCAAGAGAAATAACAAGGATGTCTCAAGTCAACTCAAGTCACCAACATCTTGACCCTGAGCTACAAAATTCCTTGCGCATGGTTAGACTTCCCTCGATCAAGATCCAGGGCTGCTCCGGTTGCGGCAGCTGTAGAAGGCAAGGCTGTGATTGTGTGACTTTTGGAGGGGGGGAGCTTCACCACTGCACCTTTTCAGCCCCCCCAATGCCTGAAACAACTTCCTGTGATGTTGATCCAAGACAGGCTTAGTTGTAACTGCTGTTGTTTTCCCCACGCGTTAGGCCAGGATCTCAGGAAACCCAATCGACCTACGTTTGTTTTTATGAATTGTTATGTAGGGGCTCAGTTATTATCATCTTTTCTTCCACTGAATTATTTTAACGGCTTATGAGTTTTTGATTACTGTTGTTTTTGTGTGGGTCTGTTGCCACCCAGAGCTGCATATTTAAAATGGGTATATAAATTTTCTAAATAAATAAACATTGTTTCTATGATCGTAAGAGTCATATTATTATCATAATAACAGAATAATAATCCAGCTAAGAGTTTATCAGTAGACCCCTCTGGACCGCATCTTAAAATGAAATAAGATCTGCTGCTTTCTGTGGTTGGTTGGCTTTTCTTTAATCTGCCAAGGTTCCAGGCCTCATTGAGAGTGACCACTTCCACTTGTTGATGTTAAAAATCCTTGTGTGCTAAATGAAAGAGGAATTAATTTTCCAAGTGTTGTCAACTTGACGAAGATTAAAGGGCCAGGTAGCTTTGCAAAGCGATTATCAGTGAGAAAAACTAGGCAACTCATTAGTATTTTCTGTTAAGAATCTCGGCTTATTCTCCCTTTTTAATCACGTTTATGGTGATAAATCAATATTGCCTTAAATGGCACGTTCAACCGCTTGATTTAATAGGAGCATTCTGCATCAAAGTCACTGTGGTTGGTTCCATAGTAGAGGGATTTTTGAAACTTTAATTTTCAATTAATTTTTTAAAAAATTATCTTACCTAGGCTTATAATGATGCTATTCCCTCTGATCACAATTGTTTTGCCACCTTTTTTTTATGATCTTCACTCCTTTCTAATGCATGAACAAGGTGTGTATTAATTTTATAGACACGTATGGTGGGTGCGATAAGATGCAACAGAAAGTCAAGTTCTCTACTTAAGAGATCCATGGTGATGATTTCCTTTAAAATATAGAATGGTGTCTCTTCAGTCTCTATCGTTTTTCCTTGCTTCATATTTTCTGGGAGAAGAAATAATTAGTATGACTAATTGATGAACATTTTCTTTTTCTTTCTTTGGTGTGTTCAGTAGGAGCTCATCAACCTCATTGGTGGCATCTGGAGTTTACCCAGATAGACATCCCCAAACTCATGTTCTCCAGATGTTTTATGGGCCACCTCGGCCAGAATTGGCCTTTGCTAGGGAAACTTGTCTCAGATTAATTTCATACAAAGTTCTGGAGACCATAGAAATCAAACTGAGTGAACATTTTAGAAGATTCTCCAAATTCTCTAGCACTGCAGAGAGGAAGATCCATTATGAGGGCAGGCCATTTTGTATGGAAGTGTCTTCACTGTCTGAACTTACTGCATTGATGAATCCTCATAAGCAACTAAATGAGGGCTTTGGGGAGGATAGAAACTTCACTAAGGGCCTTGGGGGCCAGATATACCTCATCCTGTTCAAAGGCCCCCTAGATGTTTAATTTTTTCTAGACTGAGCCATTTCAACATATAATGTTTATTCTCATTACTGCTTGGATCCCTCCATAACATGTCAGGATAGCAGAGATGGGCCATTTTACAAAGGTGTGACATTATCATGAGTTGTTCTTGTTGGAGTAGTTCATGAAACCTAGTTATGACTCCACCCCACCCCACCACCCTGGACAAATGGAAAACCTTCATTTTAGCACTGCCCGGTAGCATCGTTACTATTCCTGTTGCTCTTGTTTCTGGCAAACCTTTGTGTAGTTCTCATTTTTGTTTCACTCTTTCCTGCAGCCAGTGCAAAGAAATGACTGTCATCTAAGTGGTCAGCCATGGCAAACAGGAAATGCCAAAGCACCACGGCTGCCATGTTGGATCACCAGACAAGAGCCTGTCCTCCTTCCCCTCGTGGCCGAGCAGCTGAAAATGTCAAAAGTCCTTTGGCAGGGGAAGACTATGTGGAGAAGGAGGTGGATGCAGTATCAGCTGGTCAAGGTAGCCTTCCCCCAGTAGACCCTGAGCGCATTGATAACAGCGGAGATGGGGACTCCAGTTCGGATTATGTCAACAACACTTCTGAGGAGGAGGATTATGATGAGGGACTTCCAGAAGAAGAGGAAGGAATCACCTACTATATTCGATATTGTCCTGAGGATGACAGTTATCTGGAAGGAATGGACTGCAATGGGGAAGAGTACGTGCCCCCAGAAGAGCATCAGGTAGAGACAGATGAGTGTCAGGAGGCTATTGAGGAAGGCGAATGGGTGGAGACCAAACTACGCCACCAGGATAATGCAGCTGAAGCGGTGGGCTACCACGAAGGCTGCATTCAGATTTTGGAAGGTGAGGTGGCCTGTTTAGAAATCCAAGACCAGGAGGAGGGCATCCCATATTGCCATCAGAGTGAAGGGAGTTACTACTCACCAGAAGCCAATGGAAATTCCTGCCGGATGTCCCCTTACCATAGCAGGAAAGAAGAGGGGGATTTGGAAGAGCAGGAGGAAGACATCGATCAGATCGTTGCGGAGATCAAGATGAGCATGAGTATGAGCAGCATCAACAGTGCATCAGAAATGAGCCCGGAGCATGGCGGGACTGAAAATGTGCCAAATGACTATGCAGAGACATGTCACAAGGGGGACCCTGGCCATGCAGCCAGTAGGCATCCAGGGAGGCCCAAGTCCTTGAACATCCCCCCAGCCTCTAAGCAACTTGGAGAGGTCCAAAGAGGCTTCAAAACCAAGTCAAAGACCCCAGAGGACAGGCAGACCTGGCCACAAGAACAGGTGAGTTGGGGACTCTCCTCTTTTGCCAATGGGCCCGTGTGATCTTGCAGAGCAATACCTCCATTGGTGTTGATCTGCCTCCTTCTCTTCTAGTGTTATGAGAGACGTACTTTTTGAAAGCAAGGAGAAAGAGAGACGAGGTCGATCTAGGCGTTAACCGTTGTGAACCTTCTAGATCTCTGGGGAGGATAAATGTTATAATGAATCAGTAGGCTGCAGTTGGGGAACTTACAAATGCTCACTTTGAAGCTCTTTTTTTTAAAGCATAGAAGAACATTGAAACTATGTAAGAAAGACCTTCTCCTGTTGGCTGAAATAGTATAGCTCAAACTTCAGTTTTGCTCTGTTCTATATTTGTACTCCACCACTCGTCTCGTCTCGTGCCAGAACTGCAGGAACTGGAAAGGAGATAATTATTACTCTAAATTTTAAAAAATTAAAAACTTTAATAAAAATATAGATGTATAGCATTCTTGCCCAATGCCGGGCCACGTTGATGGCAAAGGTATTTCTGACCAGCAAGTCATTCTGTGTGCGTGTCGGTCCCAAGGGGCACTGCAAGAGATGGATAATTGTTTGAATAGCGCCACATTTCACAATAAATATAAATATACAAAATAAATATAAATATACTAAGGTAGACAAATCATAACCTTTCTCATGTGAACGTGTAGATGGATGGGTTACTCTCTAGTGTAATGAAAGTCCTTCTGGGTCACCAAGCAGAATGGGTGTTCAGAAAGATGGAGACTGCTTCCCTTTCCCCATCAGAAAAACGATGCTCAGAATTTTGCCATCCATTTTTGTATCTGCAGCTGTTTGAGAACAGCTGTAATATTATGTAGTAGTCAGATTACTAGTAGTGCAGTTTTATCATGTTTATTTTGAAGTGAGTCGCACTTTGTTCAGTAGCACCTACTCCCAAGTAAGGTGCCTGGTATTACAGGCTAACTGAGCTGAGCTGGGGCATATAAAAATCTCTGCACTCAAATCCTCATTTTATTTATCCATGGGAAGCCAGGCTGAATTTTCCTAATGATTATTAAAGCTGTAATTGCAATTTGATGGCTTTCGTTTTCACTTGAAGCTCTGCTCAGCAGAGGCAACATTTCCACTCTATACATCACAGTGACTCATGAATTCCTGGGAAGCAGAAGAATTTATAGACTGCAAGAAGGAATAAAAAAAAAGGAGGGGGGGGAAGGTGTGTGGACTTCTTTGTTGGGGAAAACGCGCAGCCTTCTGTGCTGACTACCTACAACTTCATCTGCAGTGAGAGAGTTTGCTCCCCAAAACGTTGAGTCCAATATCGTTCTATGGTGAACTTCCAGGATGGTAAAATGATGAAGTAGCTGTATGGCCCTTCCATCAGCCCCTTTGTGTTCCTACCAATGTCCCTCTAGAAACAGAGCTGGGGAGGAGATAAGAAAATGGCTCCTCTTCTTCCTCCTCTTCTTGCCTAACGTACAATAGATTTTACTTGTTTATTTGACTTAAATCCCACTTTGATTCATGAGCTCAATGCAGGGCACGTAGTGCTTCCTCCCCCTATTTTTCTAAGCATCCACTTTATGAGGTGGGTTGGGCTGAGAGAGAAGGACTGGCCCAAAGTCCCCCAGGAGTTTCCATGGCCAACGGGGGACTTGAACCTGGATTTGCCCATTTTTAGTCTAACACCTTCACCCTATGCTATGTGGTCTCTCTAATTCTGATGCACGCACAGCGTTAATTTCCATTACATTGTATTAACAATGTGCTGATTTGCTGCTATAATCTCATCTTCTTGCCATCAGTCTCCACTCGGGGTCAGGGACTGCTAGGAAATTGTCTTGCATGCCTTTCTGTCCTAGTCCTTGGTGTCACTAGCCTGCAGAGCGCTTTTCAGGCTCTCAGATCTGGGCTGCAGAAAACCTCAGTCCCCACGAGAGGGCAGCAAAGAGGCACAGAAAACCTTTCCTGCCCCCTAAGGGTTGCCTAGAGATTCAGCCCAGGTCTGGTAGCGCTCAGTGCTCGCTTGCCTTTGCTGTAGCGAAGCCGCAGTGAACCGAAGTGTGTGACCTTCTCGAGTAAGGACTTCTTTGACGCTTTTTGCTTAGATTCCTCCTCTTTTTCTGCCTACTCTGTCTGATATGCCAAGATTGCAGCTTGCTTCCATGGCTAGTTCACTTGTTCCCTTGCACCTCTGCTCTTGTCAACTCGGTGCAACTGTTCTTCTCTTCCTTCAGGCTCTGACTGCAGCCAAATCAATTACAAGGGCACCCTTCTGCATTTTCCCCTGCTTTCCCCCCCCCCCCCACATTCCCTAGTAACCTCATATATACATTGTTGGATTAGCAATATACTATCTGGAGAGAAATTACCAGCAATTATTATTATTATTTTCTTCTTCTCATATATAGACCACCTTGCTATGAATACACTTTTTGCCCTCCCTTTACCCAGCAAGAGGACACCTCACCATCTCTGAATCATCTCAGCGAAGACATTAATTGAATAGACAGCAACAAGGGAATCGAAAGGGGCTTTCAGAAAATGAAACATATCCCCCAATTTCTAAACAGAGCATTGGGGCTTCCTTGTTCAGGGTTTGTACAGCCTGATTGGATTATGATTTGTTGGGATAGCAAAGAATCTTTTGGTGGTGTTTCATAGGCAAAGCAGAAAGGGAGTTGGAGGGGGGGAGGAAAAAAAATGCCCTATTTTTAAAAGCAGAGGGAGGAGAAGTCTGTTTGAAATTGTGCATATTAATCAGCCTTGGTTTTATAACGATTATGTGACCTGTTGAGTTTCCCATGTGTTGAATGGAAAATTAGGTACGTTCATTGCCTTGAATTATATATACATAAAGTAATTAATTAATTAATTAATTAATTAATTAATTAATTGTGGTTTGGTAGCAGATCATGTGCCGTATTTGGTCTTTCTTTGTCTCCCCCATATGTTTTGAGGAAGACTGTGCTGGGAGACCAATGGCTTGGTTCATATATTAGGTTAAGCTATTATTTATTTAACCACAGTTTATTGAGTAAACCATAAATGGCCAGATTTAGGTGACACACTAAGCTGAGCCCAGTTAATGATTGATCAAAGTCATCTGTTGAGTCTCAAGATGGGGGGAGCTCTGGACATTGTGATCAACAAGACTGCAGGTTGCCATAAAATTACAGTTAGGGGAAATAGCCTCTTGTAAAAATCAGTCTAATCAGTTTCTAAACTTGGTCTGTAAATGCACTTTTTGCAGCACCAAGTGAAATATAACCAGACTTGACGTGGCTTTTAAAGAAGGGGAGAAACCACAACTCTGCCGTTTTGCGCCCAAAGACCAATATATCTGCTGTCGTTCCATCTTATAAATCATTTCCTTCTTCTCTAGTCACTCTGTCGTTTTGATCTAATGCTGGCTGAAATAATTTGCTGTTGTCAGGCAGTGTTATAGTCTTCTTCTACGTGTGACCTCTGTTGCATGGGGAGTTTTCTGTGCATGTTGGTACACGTTGCACTTACAGCAGAGCAGGGTGCTTAGATTTCTACTAGCAAGAGTGTAAAGGATAAGCATGATCAAGGAAGTGGAGAAGGTCTGTCGCTTTCTGGCCCTCTGCTATGGTGGAAGGGTGCAATTCTGCTCCGACATTGCTTTAAATCAGTGTAAATCTTTGGAGACCTAGATGTTCTGCATAAATTCACCCCCCTCCCTGTCTTGGATGAGAATGATGCTATTTGAGAATCATTCTCAGGAAATGGCATGGAAATGAAGTCTCCCTGGTGACATCTGCTCCATCAGTGTAGTGCTGAGTGGCCCTCTGAAGTCTTGAAAGAAAGGAGGCCAGGAGACTTCAGGACCCTGGACAGAGCAAGTGGCAATTGGGCTCTGCTTAAGGCCAGCCAGGGGTTGGGGCCCATCAGAGATGTCAATTGTTCCGTGGCACTGCTAGACTTGTTCACACAACCATGGCTGAAAATCCTCCTTTACACCACAGGAGTGGTTATATGAAACAACTCCTCGCCATATACAGAGTTGGGCAATTCTGGTGGGGAAGACTTCCATGACCTATGTGTCTCACCAAGCAACAGTAACTCCACTGTGTATCACCCTCTGAGATGGGGGGACATACACTTAATTTGCTCTTCCTAAAGAGATTGTGGGCTGCATAACCTCGTGAACTGGTCCAGCATCCATGCTGCAAATCCAGAGGAAAAATGGAGTTCAGGATTAGTGGAAACAGCCAATCTATACAAACTCTTGAAAGAAGCTTACATCTTTCTTGTGCTGCCCAACCAGTCAATGGATAAATCAGTTCTTATTTCCACAGCAGGAGCAATAAAACTCATGGACGAGGGGCAGTGATAAATGATGTTAGTATTGATCGTCTTCCCCCTACATTATCGATCGGCATGGTGTCTCTCTCTTTCTCCTCTGCTTTGTAGGTATGCAACGGCTTAGAACAACCCAGGAAGCAGCAGCGTTCAGATCTCAACGGGCCGATCGACAACAATAATATGCCAGAGGCAAGTACTGGCATCTAAGTAGGCTTCTCTTTTTCCTCCTCTCTGTTCCATCGCCCTTTGTTCCAAGCAGCAAAATATTGTTGGTCTAACTACGCCATGTTTGTGTGTGTGTATGTGTATGGGTAGATGTGGAACCTACCACTGAAAGGGGCTGGGGGACTAAATTGATCACAATGTACAGTAACAGAATAAGCAGAAGACTGTATTAACCACACAGATGTTGATACACAGGTACATGCCCAAAACTAGTCCTGACCAGTTCTATTAAGAACATCAGTACTGATAACAGAAACCCTCCTTTGACATCTTTGATCCGAGAAAAGACATTATCTAAGTTTATTGCTGATTGGAAACCCCTTATAGACGTTTTGCATAGAACAGAAAAAAAATGAACTTATGATTTATGGTTTTGATGATTGGAAAAAACTAGATTATAGAAAAAATGAAAGTCATGCTGTAACCATAGAGTAAGAGGTAAATTTATACTTATACTTATGACTGCTGCAAAGAAAATCAGAAGCTACTTCTTTATATTTTCCTTCCTTCCTTCCTTCCTTCCTTCCTTCCTTCCTTCCTTCC